GGGGGGCGGTGGCGGCTGGTGGGGAGCGGCGGGCAGGTTCCCCCGCCGCGCTGGGGTGTCCCCTGCCCCGGCTGGTTTTCTTGCTCTTGCAGTCCCGTGGGATCGGGCTCAGGGACCCGTGGCCGGGGAGGACGGTTCTCTCAGAGGCGCCGGGGCGGAATGCCTGCCCGGAGCTCCGTGCCTTCCTCCGGGTTGCTCTCTCTTGGGCAAACTCCCGGGCCGTTTTGTCTGGCGTGAAAAATGTCGGCCGCGGGCGTCTGACAGTTGTGCCGTCCAAGGACCGCAGTTAGGTTCTGCTCCTAAGGGTGCTGCTCTCCCGAGACAGCTGATTCCGCGCGCGTCTTGGCTTCCTAGGCTACTTAAAGTGGCTCTACAAATATTTTCCTCTCCGATAAATGCTTTGCACGGTTTTTTGGTCGCTCGCTTGTGGCACGTGACAAACACGAGCAAAGGGCTGGGTTCCTTAAGGAGTCTCAAAACTGAGAAATCTATTTTTTGCTCCTCTTGCCTGTTCACTGGTAAAACTGTGTTTTCTTGCTCATCTTGAGCTTTCAGCACTTTTTTTCTCTTAGATTTTGTATGTACAAGCTTTGGAGGTCTCTGAATCCATTGGAGGCAGTGGCTGGCTGAACAAGACATGACCCTCTTGGCAAAGTTGCATAAAGTTGTAGGTCTCATTAGTAATCTGCCTCTGGTAATGAACTATGGGAGTTATCCAGGGAGTCAGACTGAGAAATCATAAGATTTTTTTAGGCTGTTAAATCAAATGTGGATTTATGTCAGGTATTATGCACTGCATGTCCAGCCTCATTTATGTCCATTTCTGAAATGCCTTCTACAAGCTGACCCAAAAGACAAAATACTCATTTGGACAGTAGTACATGAAGTGTCCTAGAATTCCTCACCAAAGATAATATTTAAACTGAAAGTGTTCCTTAATTTACCTAAACCTCAAGATGTTATTGGTGTTACAAGTATAAACATAAAATGATTTGCCAAAGTTTTGCTGCTTTAGGGGGAGATGAGGAACAGGTTTCTCATTTGGAATGCATCTTGCCGCCTGCGCAGCTAACTTATATGACTTGCAGCTGCTTCTGTGTGGGAAATGCATGCAGAGAGAGGATAATGTGTCCCCACCATCCATCTCCTCCTATGGGCCTGACAGCAGGTGTTTATCTCCTTTTCTGTTCAAGTGCGTTTTGAGGTAAAAGGGATATGACTGGCCTCTGTGGCAGCATTATTGAATTGCACTTGCTGCTTGAGAAGCACTTCCATCCGGGAGGAAAAAAAAATCATTTGATGATTTGGGTAGGTGGGTATCAGATGGCTTGCACATGGCAAAAACTGAGCAGGCAAATTCAGACTGTTAAGGAGTATGTAGGGAATGTAAAAAGTTAAAAGATGACTGTCTACAGATCTACTTGGCAGACTATAGCAGCTGATAAGAAAAGGTTTGATCCGGTTTTGGTTTCTAAAGGGATCTATGTAATTATCCTGCTGTAGGTGATCTTTTTTTTCCAGATAAACTGACCTCGCTCTGTGTGTATGCTTATAGGCATCACTAAGAACCTGAAGTCTGTTTTTGCAGTACAGGGAGTTCTTGCTGTCTCTTTATCTCAGATAACAGCCCTCAGTTTGCATCTTGACACATTTCTCTGGGAGTTCTGACTGGTCTTGAAGATAAGGCCACAACAGATTCAGTGACAAAAGCAGCATTTTTTAAAATGTAAAACTGCTAGTTGAATCTGTATCATTCCTTGCAATCAGTTAATTTTGCAGACTGGGAAGAAGATCCAACATAGTTCTTGGTGATGTTGATAAACTGTGAACCCAGATAGTTGAAGCTGAACTTCTTTTGCACATTAGATGCTGAAGCAAATTCAACATCAGTCAGCAATATTTCAGTATTAAGAATGGAATAAAACCGCTAGAAGAACTGAGGTCTGGAACCAAAACATGATTGAAGTCTTCCTGGACAGTAAGGTATCATCACAATAGATCTTAAGTATTTTACATTGATATTCTGATAGGTAACTACCTAGTTCCATCGCTTTAGAGCAAGGATCAACTTCAGGGTCAGGGATTTTTAATGACTATAAGGTACCTTTAGTAGATTCTTTGACTTGAGACAAGTGGTTTGTACAGTATGGTAATAACAACAACAACAAAAAATACTACTGATCAAGTTACAGGACTTTTCCTTAATTTTCAAGTCTTGGATACCTCTGAAAACCACAGATAATTTTTCATGTCCCTGGTGTTATAGTAAAACTACAGTAAGAGTAGAAAGTTATTATTCAGTTAAAAAATTCTTATGATCTATTGTGATATCTTCCTTAGTTTTGTTGAACTTGAAGGTACCAATACAGGTGTGTTAAATCCAACATACTTTGTGCATATGAAGTCAAGAATTTAAGCTTTAAACTGTCAGGAAAATTGTGATTTAACTAGGTGTTAGTAGGCCAGTTTGGTGTGTCTAATATGTCAGTCCTCCCACTTTCTCTCTGTCTTGGTAAGTAGATAGTTAAGGACAGAACTAATTTCTCCTGGGATTATGCAATAGGTCTTTACCCTGGTTGGTATCTAGCATAAATGCAGCATAAATGGTAATGATCTATGTTCTCATGAACTTTGTGTTTCCTCTAAATAACTCCAATCCTTTCTACCCCAGTGCCTTCCATCACTCAGTTCTCCCCGCATCATCTTCAAACTATCTACCCATTGTATGAGTCAACAAAAAAATGAAAATTTCTTGTTATGTTTCCAGACACAACACTGCTCCTTCTAAACAAAGACATCTGAATGGTAAAACTAGGTCTTACTCTGTGCACATCAGAAAATGGAAGTGCCACTTATCTGTGCTCTAAATTTTAATTCCATGGCTTTACTATTTGATCTTGTGCAAAAACTGACCTTGACCATGTGTAACAGTTCTTACATAAACAAAACAAGAGGTTGCGTGGCTGTGGTTGTGGCTTTATAGAGCATTGTAGCAGATGATCCCTACAGCTCTCTAGAGCTTGTGTAGTGTAGCCT